GAGAGAGAGAGAGAGAGAGAGAGAGAGAGAGAGAGAGAGAGAGAGAGAGAATGAGAATATATGAATATGAATATATGTTTGTAGTACCAGAACTCCAGAATTCAATTTGGATGTAAAAGAGCAGAATTAAATTATATTAAATTATATTAGATGTCTTCAAACTGTGGAGATTTCTGTTAATACTTTAGGAGCTGTAGCTGGAATAAACAAAATGTACATGTTTAAGAGAAATTGATGTCTAAGCATGCTTTGTTTACTTAAGAAAATTTAAATACCCAAGTACCTACACATCCATATGACAGTTAGGATCCAGATAAAAAGAAATCAGTTGATCATAACATTTTTACTTATTTGCCCACTGCCTGATTTCTCAAATATGTGATTCAGAATCCTACTGAGAAAGCACATATATTAATAAAGAGACTAAGAACTCTGGGGATGTCCACATGAAGCCTATGAAAACATTTCAGCATATTATGTTATATGTTGCAGCAATATAAATTTATCAGGCATAACTGGGAAAGCCAAAGAGTGTAGACTTTCTTATATTATTTAGCAAAAAATATTAGATTGAACTTTTCAAATGTTCTAGAAATAAAAAATCATTCTAGTAGAACAGAGTATACATTTATTATACACTATTACTGAAATTGAAAATGTTTGACATATATAGAATGAGCAAAAATTGGAGATCTCCCATGATCTCCCTGATCTATCTCCATATATATGTCTGTATATATGTCAGTCAGTAGTAGAGTTCTTGCCTGGGATGAGCAAGGCCCTGAGCTGAATTCACTGGCACTGGGAGGAGGAGGGATGGTGAAAAATAAAAGAAAGAAACAAGCCTCCTGTCTGGTCTGGGTTATGATTTGTTGGTTAAGAATCCCCAGGAAGCTCTCTCAGCTAGTTTGGTAGTCACATGTTTCATATGTGAGGCTTTTAGCTAACCCTGAACACCTTACTATAATGTCAGTTTATTTACTTGTTTCCTGGTTTATATCTCCCTGGGGTAAATGGTGACATTTTCTGGCCATGTCTTTTGCATTATAGGCCTGTTTTTCTCCTGTAGTCATCTCAGTGTAGATTAAGCTTCGTCTAGGTTTTAAGAGGCTGGATGTAGGTCTACACACACACACACACACACACACACACACACAGAGAGAGAGAGAGAGAGAGAGAGAGAGAGAGAGACAGACAGACAGAATAGAGATAGATCAGATTAGGTACATATTAGCAGTCCTTGATTGTGAAGTCACAAATTCTGGTTTTAAGCCTTTTATCTGTGGTTAGAGAGTTACTAAGTTGTTCACAACCTGCAGGTTTCATTATTAGAAGCATTTAATGTTAGTGTGCTTAATTCCTGCATTGGTAAACTGTGCTATGTGTGGGCAGGCCAATCTAGCCTTTTTTCTTCTCCCAGGATGTCTTGACCCAGTGACTACTTGAAGGGCAATAGCTTGCTCATTTTCCCACTTGGAAGAATGTGCCTGGTTAACACCCAGGAAAAACCTGACTTGGCCTCTTCATTTCTGGCTTTTACTGTACCTGAGTGTTTTTCCTTGGTGTTATTTTTGGAGGAAGGTACTTATGGAACCTGTTTCCACCCTACATTAATGTTGCTTTTTGTGTTTTTGTACTCCCGTGTTCCTCCGTTAAAATTCTCACAGAGCTTTTCATACATGGAAACAATATTTGATAGTCCATATTTAGTTGGTATCATTCTCCATCTTCCAAGTTATTCTTGAGTCAGGAGAGTACAGAAGTTTGTAATGCTAGCTCAGTATTGTTAATGGAAGTACATTATTTGGGATTATATGAAGTTAGTATACATAACAACAAATGCATGTGAAGGGCCAACAGCTTATGTTCAGTTTTGTCCAGAGTGCAGTGATGGAGTTGCCTTCCACAGGGTGCATTGAAACCATTGGAAGTGCCAGGATAATATGCCTGGACACCACAGCACCCATATTTCTTTGGAACTCTTCTTGGAGAACTGCATCTCAGAATGCTGGACTTGTTTACTAACTTCTGAAATCAAAGTGCTGATTTCCTTCCATGCTTCACTCCCTGGTTTGACATCTGGCTTTCTACTTGGAGTAGGAGCTTTGTTTCAGATCAAACCTGTAGCTTTCTTTTTTTGCTTGAAAACAGGGAAGACAGCGTGTGACCTGCCTCTTTCTGCATAAAGTACAATACAATGCCAGTGGTAAGACTACAGTAACTGAAAGGAATTTTCCTGACCATTTATTTATTTTGTGTGAATGTGTGTATATGCATGTGTGTGGGCACATATTTGCCACGGCACATTTGTAAAAGTTAGAGGACCATGTACAGGAGTCCATTCTCTCCTTCCACCATATGGGTCCCAGGAATTGAACTCAGGTCTGCAGGCTCGATGGCAGGTCCCCATGGAAACTTTTCACTCACTCTAAAGAGTTTATTTTAATAAATAATTCCCTAACTTTGGTATTAAACAAAGTAGAAAGTAGATGAATGGCTACATGTTAGTACTACTTTTAGTGATGGGGTGCAGGGAAAATTTCATCTAGGAATTGCTAAAGTCATACTTATCTTTAATTCACTTCCCTTTCAAGTTATCATTGGGCAATGGTGCGTCCTTGCTCGGCAGCTTCCCACTGCAGCGTGGCAGCGTGACAGCAGTCCTCTAAGTCGGCATTATTACCCCTGCTTTGCCATGTTACACTGAGGCTTGGGAAGGAAAAAGAGGGATGCACAGTTTGACCATAGCTCCCTGTTTTTAACGCTCATATAAGACTTAGGTCTACTTTGTTGATAATAAACTGAGTATTGATGGTATTTTTAAAATTATGTTAGCTCATTGGCTGATTCCTAAAGTCAACTAGAGCCTGGTATCTCAGAGTTAAGTGCCATGATTAATCAGTTTTTACAGCAGAATAAAATCGAAAGTCAAGTAGCTTTATGGATGTCTTTAAAGATATGTACCTGCAACTTTGGTTTTTAATTTGATGTGTTTGGCAAACTAATCTGTTTTTTATATTGTTTTAGATGCAGCTTGTTAATAGATGTACAATGCTAATGTTTAATGACATTTTATAGTTTAGAGGCGTTGGGATATTGTTACCCCTAACTTTTGGATTCAGGGCTCCATGGTACTTGTATCCCACAGAGTGATGTTTTTCTAGATGTTAGTCAGTGCATGACTGGGGTTGGAGTCGTGAGTGTTGACCTTTGCTGTTTCCTAGTACTGTGCCTGACAGAAGGGGCTGTGAAGAAGGAGCTCCCATTATTAGCAGCACTACTGACTTTGGCCATGATCAGAATGTACTGCATAAAATTCTTGGGCTTGCTTGTTTGTTTTCCTGGATTAAAGAATTCATTTACTTATCAATAGTGGTATAGCAGCTTCCCAAGTGTGTCATACATACTTGGCCCCTAAGACCAAGACAAAGTGAAGGAGGCCACTTTGAGCTTGGTTAAAGTTAATGGAGGCTGAGAGATGGCTCAGTGGCTAGGAACACCTATGCTCTTCTAGAAGACCTGAATTTCTTTAGCATTAGTACCCTAGCAGATAATATGTAATAACTTGAAGAAGAAGTATATTCACTAGAAGTGAATTGATATAGCATATGTAGAATTCTTTATAATATTATCCTTTAAAATTTGAACTGTACGAATTCACTTTTGTGGTTGACTCTCAGTGGTTTTGTTACAGGAAGATACATTTTTTGTTAGCATTTTGAATGAAAACATGCATTTCACATATCCTCTGTTCGTCTGTTGTACTTAAAGACTTAGAGCTGTACATTTGATCATCTCTGCCCTGACTCTCACAAGTGAGCTCAGAATGCATGGTGACTCTTTGCTTTGTGGTTAAGGCAGTTCACTGAGCCCAAATTCGGGACACATAATTATTTGGTTTTATGGGAACTGGGTGATTTCAAAAGGGAGAGCTTCCAGGAATCATGACCATGGTGCTCCTGGGGGTTGGGGGTGGGGTGGGTACAATATGAATTCACAGGTCAGCTGGACTGGGATCATCTTATTTCTGATCTTAACACCTTTGGTTATTGACTCTTTTACAGAATGTCTCCCTACTTACTGTTTCTATCTCTGTAAGAAATTTTTGTTAAACTCTTCGTAGGTACTCACGGAGACCTGTTATTGAAGGGAGGCCCATATGATGGAATATGAAATGTAAAGAAAAAATGAAAGAATGACTCAAGAAGATAGCACTTCTAAATGCAAGTGCCAGAAAAATCACAGCTCCTCTCAGTGAATTTGCAAGTGGTAAGTGGGCATTCGATTTTACATAGGAATGTGTTTGCTTTTTGTGACATAGCGTGTCCTTGCGGTCTAGTGTTTAGCAAGTTCATTTGCTAATGAAGAATTAAAGACAATTTAGACTTTTTCATATATTTTCTTAAGACTTTTCCCATTAAAAACCTCAGAGACATCTTTTAAAATTATAAATCTTAATGGCTTTATAGAGGTCTTATTGCACCACATTTTAAAAACTAATCTGAAGTGAGAAAGAGAAGCTCAAACATTTTAGTTTGTAAGACCATTGGTGTCTGTGCTTTAGGTTATTTCTGTTTTTCAATTGGTTGAAAAGAATTTAGTGTTTCATGTCCTCATTAATAGACTTAGAAGAAAACATAACTTGTACATAAAACCTGAAAGTCATCCATCCTTCTTACTGCTCTGTCAGCCTTGTGTTATGTGTGGTCCAAGGGATGATCTGTGATGGCCATCTGCTCAATCTTGAAATAGCCTGACTGAGATAGCAAATACAGGTGACGGCAAGCCATGGGCTTGGCACATTGAGCAGAAGTCAGCTGGGGAAATTGAGGCTCAGCTGTACTTCCCAAGTAAGCTTTCTCCAGTGATAGTCTTCGTGTGGCTAACCATCCCATTTCGAGTTAGGTATGTTTAACCATGTGATGCACAGTAGTAACCTCTGTTGGAGATGGTTCACTTTCTAACTGTTTTCAAGGACACAGTATTTTTGCTGTTCAGTTTTCTTTCCTCCTTTTCACAGATTTAGGGAGCCCAGTCCATTCTCATACAGGGGGGTCTTGGAGGACATGTGACATAAATATGCTTGTGTCTGAAATGGGGTGTAACCCAGCATCAAGAGCCAGCTTCCCAGTGTGCTCAAATAGCATCTGAGAGTTGATATGGATCTTGTACACTGTATCATAGATGACCACTTTTAGCAGTTTGGTTACTGTTTTCTCTGTGTGTAAATCACTTTTTTTAAACAAAAAATTATTATATTATAACTTGGACCCCAGATTTTTGTCTTAAAACAATTCAAACAGAAGCGTGGAAATAAATTTGGAGGTATAACACCTTATAACCTCACTTAGATTGTGTTGTGGTGACAATTCTGGAACTTTGGTTTCTCACAGAATAATTATAAGAATGTATTTTCATTTTAATCCCAGGTGTTAGGCTATGGCACTGCTTCAGACTGTCTGCAGCAGCTGACTATGATTTGTCTCATGCTCTAGCAGAGGCATGGTTTTGCCAGCTGTAGATAGTTTTTGTAACCGTGTGACATTTGTAATTCTTGGAAATTTTCAGATGGTATATAAATGCTAACCCTGCCCCATAGATGAAGTGGGGTGGTTGTGGTTTGTTAGTAGTTGTACTCAAAGGAGAAACAAGAAGAAAGACTTTAGATTCATGGATCTCTCTCTCTCTCTCTCTCTCTCTCTCTCTCTCTCTCTCTCTCCCCCTCTCTCCCCTTCCTCTCTCCTCTCTCTCTCTTCTCTCCTATCTAGTGATATGGGGTGAAGGTGGGGGAGGTGGGAAATGAAGGATAGGATAGGAAAAAGAAGCCTCAAAATAGCCAACACTAGCTACAAGCAAAGAAGAAACTAGAAGAAAGAAATTAGGTTCAAGGATCTCTACCCCCGAACCCCCATCATTCTTTCTCTCCTATCTAGTGATCAGATGTGGAATTGGGGTTGGGTAAAGGGTGGGAAAAAGTAGAAAGACCCTCAAGACCAGCCACATTGTGTAATTGATGGTCTGATTTCCATGGCACACTCACTTGTCTCTGCCCATCCATCAGTCAGCTTTATTATGATGATTCTATTTCAGAGTGAATTGCAGACATCAGGAGTGTTCTCATTAAGTAGAATTCAGACTTGGCTTATAGTCTTGACTTTGTAAAGCTTTGCATACATAGCACACAATGCCTCAATCTTAAGTGTACTTTTCCTAAGTTTGATGAATGTTTGATAAAGGTACAGTAACGTTTTTAGATAATATTGTATTTTTATGATTACAAAAAGTGGTATTTCTCTGTAAATCCTTGTCTGTCTACTTTGTACACTTGCAAGTGTGCTTTTGTAGGTGTTATAAATAAAACTGCTGGGCTAAAGGCATTCACATTTTGATGGGTACGCCAAATTGCCCTCTTAAGAGGACTTCATCCATTTACATGCAGGTCAGCAATATAGCAACGCTTGGGAGTGCTCTTTCTCCTGTATCCTCTCAACATATGAAACACTACCTAGTCATTCCACATCTCATCTGCAGTGATTACCCATTAGATTTTATTTTTCTGTTTGTAAGCTGTCTTCTCATATATTTACTTTGTGTGCCTCTTATCACTCATGCATTATAATATTCTTTTCTGGGAATGTTTTGTCTGTAATTTTGGTTTTGAAGTGTTTTGAGCTCAGAAATTTAAATTTTTTGTGGTCACTCATTGTTTGCAGGTCTTGATTGTGAAGACCATCCTTACACCAAGCATTTAAAATCGCTTGCTCTTTTCTTCAGGGTTGGTTTTCATTGACCTTTACAAGGAAACAGAGATCATTGTGTCTAAAGTGCTAGAGAAGTTGGTATTAGCTTTGAACCCTGAGTTAAATTCAGACAGTAAGCAGAATGCTGGGGAGTCTTCAGACATTAGCAGCAAGTGATGAATATGTTTCATACTTATGGAATAGTAATAAAACCAGTTTTAGAGTCATAGGAAATTTAAGTTTATGAATATATGTTTGACTTTGTTTCTTATTAATTATTTTGGCTAGTTCTTATTTTCCTCAAAAATTTTCATTCTGACATTCCAATTTCTGTCATATTATCATTTTTTTGTTATATGTCTTTCCTCAGTGACTCAAATTTTTCTTCTGTGGTAGTGAAATCCAGATGCCTAAAATGGCAAGAAAGGGAAGATTGTATACCTTCAGAATAAATTGAACTTTGTAAATATTTCCTCAGGGTAGTTTATTACACTTGAATTATAATTTCTTTAAAAGCAGTTTGTGCTGTAGTAATTTACATCAGTATGAAGCTAGTCACTGTACTCAAGTGTAGTCACCAGATAGCAATCTCCAGTGTTGAGGAACCAGTTCATCAACTAGTCACTTCAAAGTTTGATTATGAGCTCACCATTTAATATACAAATTAGCATGTGGGGATCTCCAGCTAATGAAAGTATTTGGGAAATGCCATCCTTAAACCTGAGCAGCACTGTTCAGTTTGCTTGTTGCTCAGGGTGTGTAATAGTTTCTGTCCAGCCATCAGCCACACCTGGTAGCTCTCCTCGCTGGAGTGATCCTGCCATTCTACCAGTGACAGGCTCTCGGCTGTAACCAGCTGTGGGTTCCTGGAAGACCACTGCTCTCCCTGGCCTCCTATAAGGACTATATGGTGCTAATTTTTACTAATCAGGTATTTGTTTTCAATATTCAATGGTGTGTTCCTTGTTTAGTTTCTCTGGGCTCAGTCTTTGTGTTTAGTTTCTCTGGGCTCAGTCTTCGTGGGATGCTGTTGTTTTAGAGTTTGCTATCCACATATGTTTTCAGTCAGGAACCAACCCATCTTAAGTGACTTTGTCACTGTAGTAGTTTCTGTTGTGAGGGATTGATCTTTTCATAATAAGAAAAATTTGTTATTTCAAAATTAAAGGAATTAAAGACAGATTCAAAAGATGAATACTTGATGATATTCCTACTTAACAAATTTATATATCTGTTTCTAATGTTAATGTTAGGAATAAACCACAAAAGTATTGTTGCATGTAAACTTAGTTTTTGATCTCCTATAGAATTGAAGCACTGAAAGCCAGAAAGGTAAATGAAGTTCATACTGTTGGGTATGTTGGCAAGCAGAGACTCTGTCTTTTCTTGTATCTCTTGATAGTTTAGCAAGACTGTAAAAATATTACCAGTAAATCTCAGGCCAGCCTGGGCTACATAGCAAAGCCCTTTCCTAACTTCCCATCTTCCCAAATTGTTCTTTGCAGTGGTTCTCTTTTTAGCTATGCAGGAGGTATTTGTGCTCCTTTAGTTTTAGAACAATGATTCCTAGCAAGTTACACAATATGCTTTACTCTTTCTGGTTTTCTTTACTTTAATGAACTGTCTCTTAAAGACCTAGCTCTATTTCTATTTTAGAATCCTTATAAAAATACTGATTAGGACTTTATTTCATTTAAATTGGGGGCGTATGTATTGCATTTGAGTTCCTATGTTTTTCAACGGGAAACTAGTACCTTTTAAATTAAAAATATATATTTAAATTAATTTATTTTCTTGGTTTTGCTGGGGATTGATGCTAGCCAAGTAGACTACTGCTGCTTAGCATTGTATTCTCTCTCTCTCTTTTTTTCTTCTGTTGCTTCAAGAGTTAGGAGTTTGTAAGGATGAGAGGAGATGTATTCTTTTTAACTTAAGTGGCCTTTAATGCCTGTTTTGGTAGTCTATGGCCCTGCTGAGCACCAGCAAGGCCCTTCAGTGGGAGCCCAGTTACTCATAGAATGAAGTAGTGGAGCTGTCAGGTCTGCTGCAGAACTGGGAGTTGTCCTTGACTTTTGTTCACTCCCAGCAGTGAACCAATTAGTAAGGCTCACTGATTGGCTTTTACTTCAGTAGGTCCCTTCTGTAAAGTTAATTTTGACTTTTGTGTTCTTTTAATCTAACTAATTTGTCTTTAACTTTATTCTCCACAGGAGAGTGTTAATATTTTATTTAAAGTACAGATCTTACTTAACCCCCACTTTAATAGCTTTCCTGTGCATACGAATGAAGTCCAAGTGCTCTAAATGACATGCTTCCCTCATGATAGAGCACTGTCCTTATTTCTGAGTCAGTCTATGGGGGGCTTTATGACTTGTGCTGGCAGATTGTGATACTTCCTGTGATGCTCAGCTTAGTCACCCTGTTCTGGCCTCTTTTTGCTGTACTGTTGCCGTGTTTTTGCCTTAGATAACCTTTACTCATCTTTCAAGATTGAATTCAATTTGTATCTGTTCCAGGAAGTCCTGCTTGAATCCCAGAGTCACTAGGCCCATTTTCTGTGCATTTACTGACAACTTGTTCACAGATCTGGAGTTTACCATAGTAAATTAAACCCTTTTTAAATGATATTTTCCAAATGGACTTGGTTTATTTAAGCAAAGGCTATGCCTTATTAATGGTTGTATCTACAATGTCTAGGAAGTGACTCTTATAAGAATTTACTGTACCAATGACATCTTAGTGAAGGCAGAGGGTAGTTCTTCTGAGCCAACATTCATCTGGATGATACGCCTGGTTTTGAGTCTTGTGAGGAATTCAGGGGACGTGGAATGGGGTCTGGGAATCTGTCTTTCTTTTTTTTAAAGTTCCCTAGTTGATTCTGTTTTGTTGCAAGTTTGAAAATGACTGACCTAATTAATTATTATACATACCATTATAGTTTGTGTATCAGAGATGCCCCTAAACCATGTATAGTAAGTAGTTGTTTAAGCTTACTAAGTTACGCCTACTACAGTATATGTTTTAGGTCACTTGGTGGATATCATTTCTGTATGAAATTTCAGCTCACTTGGAGACTTTTTCATTTAGGGATGTGTTGTGTTGCTGATTGTGAATTCTCAGCTGAATGATAGTCCCACTTAAACAGGAGTTTTCTTGAGTTGATAGTAAGGAGATTAGTTGGGTTTCATCCCACAGATTTTAGTTATTTGTAATTTTCACTTAATTTTAATATTTCAAAATGATTTTTAAATATTTCATTGTGGTTTTAAGTACATATGTAGTCTTTATGTTTATATTTGCATATACCCACAAAGTCCCACCCAGATCAAGGTATAGAATATTTTTGGTCCTTTAGAAGTTTGGATCAAATTCATTTCCAGCTAGAATACATCCCATCTACTACAAGATAACCAGAATTAGATCCTGTGATGTTAGCCTCCTGGTTAAAGTGCTAAGACTTTTGCACATGTCTTTCGGTGGACATACTCATTCATTTCTTTTGTTGTCTACACATGAAATTTGTAGATAAGGATAAACAAGTGTTTCTGTGATTTATTTTGAACAATTAAAATTAAATTGAAGATTTTAGTGAATTTTGTATTTATTTTGCTAAGTGCTTGTTATTAAGACAAAACTCAAATATGCACAGGAAACTCAGTAACTGTCAATGAAGTTTCCAGAGATGTAGTTTTCATTGAGTAATTTTTTCATGTTAGTAACTCTTGCTTTTCTCTCTAGGATTCTCTTGCCTGTGGGCTGGCAGGCAGTTATAGGACTGCAGAATGGGTCTTCGGATTCACTTTGTTGTTGACCCCCATGGTTGGTGCTGCATGGGTTTGATTGTCTTTGTCTGGTTATACAATATTGTTATAATCCCCAAAATTGTCCTCTTTCCTCACTATGAAGAAGGACATATTCCTGGCATTTTAATAATAAGTAAGTTTCTAAGTATTATTACCTTCTATAAAGATTTTTTTTCTAATTGTGAATGTTTTGAAGTACAGTGTCTCCATGACTTGCTTTGACTATGCTATTTCAGTAGTACTACTAAACCTTTAATTAAATTACAGTTGTACAAAACAATAGCTTTTTGTACTGGGAGAGATAAGATACTAACTCTATGTTTATTTCACTCTGAAAAGTATAGGAAGGCCATTTTGTTCAAGAGCCTGACAATAGGATTTGTATTTAATTGCAAACATGGGAGGTTATTGATTGATTGATTGAATACTATTTTGAGACAGGGCTTCTCTCTGTAGCCCAGGGTGGCTTCAGACTTGGCATCTTTCTGCATTTCTTCTACATGCCTGTGACCCCAGCATCTCTGTGCCTGGCTTGAAGATGGAGGCATCATAAGGAAGGGGATGGGATATATTACTGGGTGATGAGAATTTCATGATCCTAAAATTGACTTGATTGTGATGCTACTGGATCTCCAAAATCATTATTATTGGCTGCAGCCCAAAAATTATGGCTTGCTTGTATTACTGACAGTCAGATCACAAGGACACATTGTTGCAGTAATTTCTTAACCCAATAAGCCCATATTAAAAACACACAACCCTGTTATTATATTTATAATCTATATGCCTAGATTGGGCAGATCTATTACTACTGTACTATTTTATTCCCCAGCTATGAGACCCCTTGCTACTTGCAACTCCTCTAGGCCATGTGGTTCTGTTCCATATTGGCTTCCACCTCCTCTTCCTTCATCCTCTCTCCTTTTGCCCCCTCTCTAAGACCTCTAGTCCACCTTTCCTTTTCATTGGCCAATCATAGGCTCTAGCCTTTATTTCACCAGTTAAGTGGGGAGAAGGTTCACATGAGATCACCTGAGTACACACTCAACTCCTCTTTGTCTTGGGCAGCCCCTCTTTTTTTTTTTAATTTAATATTTTTTTTTATTTACATTTCAAATGTTATCCTCTTTCCAGGTCCACCCCCCTTTGGGAACCCCCTATCCCATCCTTCCTCTCCTGCTTCTATGAGGGTGTTTCCCCACCTACCCACCCCTGCCTCAATGCCCTGGCATTCCCCTACTCTGGGGCATCAAGCCTTCACAGGCCCAAGGGCCTCTCCTTCTATTGATGCCGAACAAGGCTATCCTCTGGTACATATGTGGCTGGAGCCATGGGTTCCTCCATGTGTACTCTTTGGTTGGTGGTTTAGTCCCTGGGAGCTCTGGGAGGTCTGGTTGGTTGATATTGGTTTTCTTCCTTTGGGATTGCAAACCCCTTCAGCTCCTTCAGTCTTTTCTCTAAGACTGTATATGGGGATTTGGTGACTGTATATGGGGTGGATCCCCAGGTGCAGCCCCTCTTGAGGAAGCAGAATTAACATCAGAATACGAATAGCACCAGTGCAATCCACAATCCACAATCCACATTTCCCCTTTTTTGTCCAATAAAAAGGCTCCTTCCCCTCCCCATATATAAATTGAGCACAACCATAACAATTATGCAAATATAAATATAAAATGTGATATACCCTTAACATCCAATCCATCGTATTTGTCAATTTAGGTAAAATTACCATCTATCCTAGCTTAAAGAGTCTACAGTTCTATACTTGAATTACGTTTTGATTTTAACTTATATTATCATCTGAAAACCATTCTTTCAAATCTGTATCATCTTACTCAATCCTAAACAGATTAAGATTGCTTATGAGACTATAACTAGTTTTCAACCACATCAGAAATTGGAGAATAAATTAAATATTTCCTGAATATATAGGAAGCACAAAAACAAGGCTTCCAAAACTTAACCAAATTTGCAGAGACAGCTGACCACCTGGACAGTCCCCCATTCCTCAAAACGTTGGAGCATTTGTTTTCAGCCTTCTGGGCCAGGATCATCTGATAGACCTCAAAGGAAGCAGGAACTATGAAGAACTAGCCTACTCGGTCTTGGCAGAGCTATACTGTCGACCATTTCTGCATTGTATGTCCTTTCCTGGACAATATTTTTTGTCTGTAGATGGATTAGGGCAATTCTTGCCCAGTGGCCACCTTGCCACAACTGGAGCAACTCCATATGGAAGTTTTGATGCTTAATATCTTTTTTGAACCATGAAGTGGATGCTGTTAGGAGCAGACCTGGTTTGTAGTTAAATGATCTTTAGTAATGAAATAACATTAAATGTCATATTTTATAATTTCTGAAGTTTTTGAAGACTATTTATGTAAAGTATGTCTGAACTGTTCAACCTTAACTACTCTTAGCTATTTCTATTTGAATAATATTGAAGATACTTTATTATAATTAAATCAGAATCTAATATATTCATGAATTTACTCTCTGGCCTTTAACATCCTAAACAGTTTGCAATAGCAGCTGTAGAAGGACTGGGTCAAGGCCTTGTATTCTTAAATGAGTTGCATGGGCACAATGCCTATCTTAAGAGTAACAATATTAATTTCAAATTTTATATCAATATACAAAGATTTATACCAATGAAAACCTTAAACCTGTATCAATATACATAAATTCTATTCCAATATAAGAAATTAAAACTTCAATTTTGCGTCAATATAAGGATTTCTACCAATGTAAGATTATACCTATACAATGCTTTGCTTAAGAGTAAATTTAATATCTTATCTCTATTTGTCTATTTCTATAATTTCTATAATATTACTATATCCCCCTTTTCTTCCCACCGCCTGATTGATCCTTTACCTAAGAAGAAAGGGTAGAGAAGAGGAAAGGAAAGGTAGAAACCCCTGACTCTAAGCTCTCTAGTTTCCTTCCTGTCCAAAGCAACTCACAACCACACATCTACACAGTGTTTACAGCTTTCGTGTCTTTCCCTCATTTTGATCTCATAGCAACTAAAAGAAATATAATCCCTATCATATATATTGTGAGGTGTGGCCATTATCCTGTAGTCCTCAGAAGACTGAAGCAGGAAAATAGTGATGTCTAGGCCAGCCTGAGCTCCGAAGTAAGATGCATATTAGGCAGACAGACATTGCAGTCAGGTACACATCAGTGAGCACTGTTTCCTTTTTATGTGTTCAATGTATTGTTTTTTTATCCCCTACAAAATGCATATTTTTTTGAGCAACAGAGAATTATAGGATGTGTTTATTATTTTTTCCTATGTATTAATTTAAAATGTAATTATGGTGACTGAATCTCAATTGTTAATATTATTTTTATGGTTACTTTAACATTCGAAAGGTTTTAATTCTTCACTTTTGAAGTACATCTCTTAAGATTCATTGAAAGAGGCAATTGAAAAGCACTAATTTAGAATAATTTTGAAGATACAGACTTGATATAAGATTAAATGCTGAAGTTTCTTAAATGCTGTTTTGATCCTTTTAAATGAGTCCATTCATTTATTTATCGTTACTGGGGTCACTGTATGAAAGAACCTCACTTGTTATATGTTTATCAGTTATTTTGGAAAGTCATATTTAAAACTGATACATTTAGTGTAGGCGTCATCTTGACAGGACTATTTGAAATAGTCCTAGTTTAGAAATAGTTTAGTCTGTTGGTAAAGTTATCCTGATAGGTGTTGACTAAAATGCATTTTTTTTTTAAATTTTAAGTTTGTTGATAAATGTTTTAAATGGCAAATGACTAATTTCTGTGTTTAATTTCATATTACAGTATTCTATGGCATTTCCATATTTTGTCTGGTTGCCTTAGTGAGGGCCTCCTTAACTGATCCTGGAAGACTCCCTGAAAATCCCAAGATCCCACATGCAGGTATGGTGTTCTTTAGGCTCATCCATGTTTCTATGTTGACATTATATTTACTGACACGTACCTCCAATATATGCTTCTGTAAGTCATTTGAAACCACGCTCAAGTCTCTGCTCACACATGTGTTCTCAATTGCAAGCACTCTCCCCCCCATTCTGTGCCTGCGCCTTTCATTCCTTTTAGATCCCCATCTATCCTGAGCATGTGGGTGACTCTAACCTCTGTGTGTATGTGTGGTGGTGTATCTCTAGTCTCTAGGAGAATCTGCCACCACTTACAACAAATAAATATTTGTTGAATGAAACAAAAATTACCTGAGAGATTCTGGTTTATTTAAGAACAGAATTTTCACCTTGTGATATTGATAAGTTGCTTAGAACAAATATTTTTAGTGTTATAAACATTATTTTCCATTTTTTGAAGGTTCTAGCAGCTTAATGAAAAAATGAAAACTTTCGTTTATCATACAATTGAAGTAATTTTTTATTCTCTTGACAGATGATCATTCAAACCATGAAAAATGGATTGTTTAGTATACCAGATACAATAGAAGCTCACTTTTTATCTCTCTTTAGCTCATCTTTGATTATTTCTGTATTAGCTTTGACAGTTCTGTACTTTTCTATATGTTTTTGTAGTACATTTTAGAGCTAGAGTATTTTCTATAATAATTTAGTGGCTTTTAAATTTTTACTTCTAAATTTTCTGGGAAGCTTTAAAAAGAAATCTCAGTGCCCAGGTTACAACTTATATCAGTTAAATCAGAATACCTGGGCACAGGCACAGGTTTGAGTTTTGTGAAAAATCCCCTGTGGCTCCAGTGTGTAGCAGAGTTTGGAACCAAAGTAGTAACTCCGTATGAAATGCAGTTGACTCGTTACCATACAGAACCCTCCAGAAATACTAATTCTTGTTTTTTGAGACTTGTCATTCAGGGCCTTACTTGGCTCACAGGCTTAGAGATTAAATAGTGCTGTTTGTGTAGCTGCAGCACTGCATTTAATATGTAGTTCTGTTCACTTGCTTTAGTTGTAGCACAGCTCTTAGTAGTTAATGTACATCCGTTGTGGAGTGAGAGCAGAGAGAGGGTGCCCCCTCCCTGTAGACTCCCTCTTCCTCCCGGCCACTATAGCTGAAAGCTGTATATATCATATCCACATGCTGCTGCTTCAGCACTGAAGTGCAGTAGCTGCACAACAACGAAGTGGCCTTTCCTAATTCCAGACCTGTGTCTGAGGAACACTGCCTGCAGTGGTCAAACACGCAAATACCTATAGGCTCCTGATACTGCTGGTCAATAAAAGACAGTCTAAAGAGAGTAGCCATGACTCAACTGTTGTGAAATTGTCACCAATTACGTTGCTAGATGTTAAAATTTTAGAAGAGAAAAATGAATACATTACTAAGTTTTTGCCCAAGGTAGACAAATTTTATAAAGAAAAGATTTATTTAACACACATTGAAAGTGTCTCATGGTCCAGATGATAGGATGTGGGAAGGCTTCGTTTTCTCCATCAGTCCTTACCTCCCTGATGTCATTTTCTCCAGAGCCCTCTCCAGAATTGCCCATAAGGCTCTGCTTACAGGCTTTGCTAGTGTGTTCTTCCAAACTCTTCAGAAGCCTGGTTCCAAAAGCAGTTGCACATTCTAGGTAGCATTATTGTAACAGTGGATTCTGTCTGTAGAATCCACTTTGCTGTGCTAGTTTTGTGTCACCATAATACAATTACCAAGACATGGTACTGATGGAGAAAAGAGATTCATTTAGCTCATGGTCTGGAGGTACAGGGGTATGGTATCTACACTGGCACAGATCTGGTTGAAGGCCCAGGAATGAGTACTCACATTTTTCAGCAGGAAGCTGGAGGTGCAGGAGCAGTACAGGTGACAGCTTTTGGGATAGTCCCTGTTCCAGTTGTTCACCAAAACATGAGGAACAGGGAATCTCAATTTTTTAAAGAGATTTTACTATTAAAAATTAATTCTCCTTCAGTAAGATCTTGAACTTCAGCCTGACCTGAAGTACATGGTGACACACTCTGTCTCTCCAAGAGCCATCCATCCATTTATCCAAAGAAACAAACTAACCCACTACCAATAAAGTTTTGAATTCAAACTCTTAACACTGGGAAAAAACCCAAAAACTAATAAGTAAGTAAGTAAGTAAGTAAATAAATAAATAAATAAATAAATAAGTCAGCAAGTAATGAAATATAGAAATATTGTTTTTTACAAAACAATAATTTTTTTTACAGATTATTTAGTGTGTGTGTATATGTGTGTGTGTGTGTGTGTATCTACATACAAATGTACTCCATGTGCATGTAGGTGCCTTCAGAGGCCAGAAGGCATTGCCTCAAGTGTCCTGTTTCTGCAGCTGCAAAGAGTATTCTAGGTTAGCTAGCCTGCAAATGTCTATCTGATTCTACCTGCCTCACATTTTGCTGTTGGTCTCTCTCTCTCTCTCTCTCTCTCTCTCTCTCTCTCTCTCTCTCTCT